GCCAGCCTCTTGGCCTGCCTCACCCTCTTCTGTCAGCCACCGGGCCCGGAACGCTCTGACACAGCGGCGCCATTTTGGGCCTCACGTGACCCGCTTTCTTCCCGTGCCCCGGTGTTTCATGGGATTTGTAGGCCTAGTGCGAGCAACTCATCTATGCCATGCTTCAGAGAGCGTGGTCTTCAGAACTACAATTCCCGCGAGGCTAAGCTCATATATTGCCTAGCCTCTGATTTTCCAGCAGGGAAGAAGTCTTAAAGGAAGAGTCACCTGCTATCAAGGTGATCATCTGAAACATTCACACCTAGCTCCAGCAGACAAGAGTCCTTTGTCTCACCCTGGTCATTCCACAGATATATAAACCCATTTTTTCTACTTCCAACAGACCTCACTACCTCTGAGGATGCTTGCCATAGATGCAGGCGAAACGTCAGGAGAAAAATTGCCTTCAGAACATGGCCATATAGCCCGGAAAAACCTACAACAACCCAGTCACCTGCTAGTTGAAGGTTTATTTTCTGGTCTGTTTTGCCCTTCCGCCCGGGTGTCTAGTAGGCAAATAACAACAAACATAGTAATATTAGTAATAATAGAAATCATGAGAATATAAAAAAATAATAAGATTATAAGCAAGAATATGAAATAATAACATGAACCAATATAAACAATAATATAAATATTTGATTTTAAAATAATGATGCCCAGTGGTGCAGCAGATTAAACCTCTGAGCTGCTGAACTTGCTGATCTAAAGGTTGGCGGTTTGAATCCAGGGAACAGGGTGAGCTCCCGCTGTTAGTCCCAGCTTCTGCCAACCTAGCAGTTTGAAAACATGCCGATGTGAGTAGATCAATAGGAACCTCACAGACAGGAAAGTAATGGCACTCCATGCAGTCATGACAGCCACATGACCCTGGAGGTGTCTAGGAAACAACGCCGGCTCTTTGATTTAGAAATGGAATGAGCACCATCCCCCAGAGTCGGACACCTTTACCTTTACCTTTAATGATAATACAAAACAATGTTGTCATGTCAGGAGTGACTGCAAGTCGCTCCTGGTGTGAGAAAATTGGCCATCTGCAAGGACGTTGCCCAGGGGACGCCTGGATGATTTGATGTTTTTATCATCCTTGTGGGAGGCTTCTCTCATGCCCCCGCATGAGGAGCTGGAGCTGATAGAGGGAGCTCATCCACCACTCCCTGGATAATAATATAAAATAATGAAAATATACAACAATAATAATATAGACGACAATAAAAATAATATAAATAATATGAAACTAATATACAATAACACAATATAAACAATAATAATGTAAATTAATTTAAACAACAATAATACTTAATACTGATAACTTAAAACAACAATAATAAAATTAATATAAACAAATATAATATAAATGAATGATAATATAAACAATAATAATAAGACATGTAGGGTAGCCCCAAAGTCTCCATAAAATAAAACTCATATTTTCTATTACATTACATTATATTGTTTTAATATTTTTGTCTTTTTATATTTTGTATTTTATCCATTTTAATTGTAATTTATAAATTTTGTAGTTTTACAAGCTCTTTAGCTTTCTCTGCCAAAGAGTTCTGGTGCTACACCAAACTACATCTCCCAGGATTCCATAGTATTAAGCTTTGGCAATTAAAGTGGTGTCAAACCAGTCATTCTACTACAGTGTGGATGCCCTTAAAAATGACAGTATTACTGCAGAAATGCAAATGTTTAGCACTGTAGAGAGTAAGTCATTGAAACTCCTTCACATTTAGAATTCTTGTATTTGCTACATTCATATTCTAGGGCTATAATTTACAACTTTTCATATACAATAGGTCTGTGGTATCAGCTGGGAGTCAATTCCAAGACAACTCTTGTTGTTGTTCATTCGTTCAGTTGTCTCCAACTCTTCGTGACCTCATGGACCAGCCCACGCCAGAGCTCCCTGTCGGCCGTCACCACCCCCAGCTCCTTCAAGGTCAGTCCAGTCACTTCAAGGATGCCATCCATCAATCTTGCCCTTGGTCGGCCCCTCTTCCTTTTACCTTCTACTTTCCCCAGCATAATTGTCTTCTCTAGGCTTTCCTCATGATGTGGCCAAAGTACTTCAGCTTTGTCTCTATTATCCTTCCCTCCAATGAGCAGCCGGGCTTTATTTCCTGGAGGATAGACTGGTTGGATCTTCTCACAGTCCAAGGCACTCTCAGAACTTTCCTCCAACACCACAGTTCAAAAGCATCTATCTTCCTTCGCTCAGCCTTCCCTAAGGTCCAGCTCTCACATTCATAGGTTACTACAGGGAATACCATGGCTTTGACTAGGCGGATCTTTGTTGCCAGTGTGATGTCTCTACTCTTTACTATTTTATCGAGAGACAACTCTGTGGGTACCAAAATCCATCACCTGTAAAGTTTCATTATATACAATGCTGTAATAAAATGGTGTCGCTCATATAGATTGGCAAAATGAAGCTCCTGTGAGGACTTCAATCAGGCCCAATCAGGTGTCTGGGTGTAGACTGGGTCTATGCCAAGCCAACTGACCCATTCTGTCTTATCTCCAGTTGGGAAAGGAGCAATTCAGTGGGAAGGAATTGCTAGGGAGGAACGGCTTGCAATGCTTCTGACATCTTTCTTCAAATGTCCAAAGTAGAATATCCATATAAAACCTCAAGATAAAAAATTGCTTCATGCTCATTAAGGGATTTTAGAACATAACTTTTCTATGCTTTGATCCATCCATAGAGCCTCATATACTCAAAATATATTATTATTATTATTATTATTAATTTAATTAATTATTGTTAAGTAACTAAGAAAACAGAAACAAAATGTTGCCCTTCTTTTCTTTTTTTTCACTAGCCCTAAGCAGATGGACTAATCTAGACCTCTACCTTTGTGACTGTATCTCCCTCAATGAACCATCTCGGGCCCTCCGATCTTCTGGGGAGGCCCTTCTCTCCCCCCTTCCAGTTTCACAAGCTCGTCTGGTAAGTACAAGGGAGAGAGCTTTTTCCTCTGTGGCTCCCCAACTCTGGAACTCATTGCCTGGAGAAATTAGGAAAGCCCCTACCCTAGAAACCTTTAAAAAGAACCTTAAAACCTGGCTTTTCCACTGTGCCTTTGGTGAGTAGGTATACAATCTCACATTATTGCTTAGCCTCAACGTTCTGTCATTGGAGTATACGTGTGTGTGTCCCCCTCGTGGGAAAGCTTGATTCCACAATCCCCCGCTATAATGAGCCTTCCTCCGCAAATAACCTGCTTCTCTTTTATCTTGCCTGAGTTTTTAATTAGGTTTTAATTAGTTTTTCTTTTAATTATGACATATAGCCCGCCCATTGTCATTGTGTTTGTGCTTATTGTAATTTTATATTGTTATGTATCCACATGTTTTATGTAATTATGATGTTGTTGTTTATTGTTCGCGTTTTCAGTTTGCATTTTCGGTTCTACTCTGTTGTAATTTGTTGTTTAGGCTTGGCCTCATGTAAGCCGCTCCGACTCCCCATCAGGGAGATGGTGGTGGGGTATAAATAAAGTTTATTATTATTATTATTATTATTACTACTACTACTACTACTACCTGGAAACTAAATATATTTATTTCAAAAGCTGTCATTGTCAAAATATATGGTATCTATAGTAGAGTGCAGTGTATGAACTTGTGGTAGGAAACAGGAGAGAAAATACACAGGATACTCTGGTAAGGGTTTAAAAGGTAAAAATGTACTTTTATTGTTGCAGATAATACATCTTGTATAAATAATAGACAAAAAGGTTACCTAAATTTGGTAGAAGGCTCTTTGATGCTGACTCTCACGTCTCTTTGTAAGACATCCTGAGGTGGAGAAGCATCATGTGCTCCCTTTTAAAACAAATGGTAATAAAGCACACTAAAGACTTTTGGTGAAAAGTTGGAACTGACTTTTTCACGTAGACAAGAAGCAAAACACCTTGAGTTACATACATCTAGTAAACAGAGGTGAAAAACAAGACAGCAGACATATACCACCCTCCGTCGCTATTTGCTCTGTATGTAAGTGTTGATACTTCTTCACTTTCAACAGGCATTGAAAAGCATCTTCCTTAAAACTGAGAGTTTTTTTCAATGTCTTCAAAACCTTAGTGCTATCATTGGAATTGACAACACAAATATACATTAAAGACAAAGGTTTCTCCTTGACATTAAGTCTAGTCGGGTCCAGCTCTGGGTGGTGGTACGCATCTCTATTTCAATGCCGAAGAGCCAGCGTTGTCCGTAGATGCCTCCAAGATCATGTGGCCCGCATGACTGCATGGAGCACCATTACCTTCCTCCCCAAGCAGTACCTACTCACATGTTTTTGAACTGCTAGTTTGGCAGAAGCTGAGGCTAACAGCAGGAGCTCACCCCGCTCCCTGGATTTGAACCACCAACCTTTTGGTCAGCAAGTTCAGCAGCTCAGCAGTTTAATCCGCAGTGCCACCAAAAGGTCCTAAATACATTAAATTGCTATAATTTTTACAGACGTTTTTCCCTTTTGGTAAAGAATCCACATCTTTCGTATTGGTTCCTTAATTTTGATGAGGAATAGCACTATCCAGCTACTTCTAACAAGACAAGCTAAGTAAAAGAACATTTTCTCTTCCAATTCTTAGCATTATATACACATGAATGTTCTTTCTCCATGTATACTGTGCTGAGGTGAAATGTTACCTGCATAAGTGCTCTAGGCTCATTTATTTTTTATCTGTACTGAGTGATTCATATGTTATGCCCCATTTATCATGCTCTGTGTTTGCTGTGAACATACCGGAGCGGGAAATTATGATAGGGTCAAAGGCAATGAAGATGTCGAACACTAATCCAACAGGTGTTCCCACTCCCTGTGTCTTTTGTATACACATATTCAAATCACCTAAGGCAAGACAAGGTAGAAACTGATCACTGCTGATTTCCCTCACAAATATACACCACAGCTGCTGAACCAGGCGCAGGCTGTGCATCAGAAGGAAAGGGTCCTCGTGGATGAAGCCTCAGGATGCTTTCATGGGACCCTTTAGCACTACGTTTTTATGACTTGCTGTTCAAAATCTATCTTCTCTTAGGTAAGGTCCTAGGTAAGGCGTTGAGCCTTATTGTGCTTTTCTGCTTTTTCATTCAGGGATAAGGTTTTATATCATACTTTTCAGTGATTTTGGAGAGATAAAACTGTCATGAAATCAGTCCAGAACTGGTTCAGAACTTCTTTAATTGTAAAATATAACTAGTTTTCAAAGAAAGATGTATGCATTTATTGATCTCAAGGACACTCTTGGTATTAAGGTTTCCAACTGAATATTGCAAAATCCCAGCAATTTTACTTCTGAAGCCTGCCATCTATGCCAAGTGGAGTCTGAACTCTTCTAAGAATGTATAGAACAATTCTGTAATTTTGCATGCGTATCACATATAATTTCTCAACAGTTTTGAAAGCTGCATCAAAAATTAGTCAAGAATTATTCTCAGTGCCTTGCTGAAAACATGTTGCACAGTAATGTTGTTAGTCCAGGGTACTATATTTGGCAAAATAATATTATAAGTCTGTATTTCTCAAGGGCAACTAGCATGGTGTATTGGGTTAAGTTTGCACTGTATCTGAGAGGGTGGATCTACACTGCCATATAATCCAGTATCTGATCCCACATTATCTGCTTTGAACTAGATTATATAAGGCTACACTGCCAAAGAAAATCTGGGATCCCAAACTGGATTATATGGCAGTATAGATGGGGCTTGAGAGAACAGGGATTGGAATTGCCGCTTTGAGTCTCCTTCTGGAGAGAATAAGCGGGGTATAAATAAAGATAATATTAACATAATCATGTGAAACCCCCTTTTGCCATGGGAAAAATATGACCTTAGACTATCTCAGCCTCAGAGGAAAGCAAGAAGAAAGCTCTTCTGAATGAATAAAAGTTAAAAACACATACCTATGACAACAAAATGATTATATTTCTTGATGTTGCTTGGATTCTTTTTATAAGGGTTTCTTTCTATGGCATCTTAAGATGAAATGAAGGGGGAAGGCTCCACTAACACTCTTAACAGACTCAAAACAGTGTTGCGATGCTATTGGGATTTACCTGCAATAGCCCACAGCATGTGGCATCTCATTGTAAACTCACCATCCTGAGAGAAGCTCCTCTTCAGTGTGGTAATAGTTTTGACATTATAATGGGGTTTTCTGTTTTCAAAAATAGAAGACTATTTGTTTCTGCCTTCTGATTTACAATGGGGCTACAGTGAAAATCATAGTTCTCATTGTTGGATTGAACCTTATTTGAGTACATGGCACCTCAAGATGCCACACGGGGTTTTTTTGTTCATGTCAGGAGCGACTTGAGAACCTACAAGTTGCTTCTGGTGTGAGAGAATTGGCCATCTGCAAGGACATTGCCCAGGGGACACCCAGGATGTTTTGATGTTTTACCATCCTTGTGGGAGGCTTCTCTCATGGCCTCGCGTGGGGAGCTGGAGCTGACAGAGGGAGCTCATCCGCACTCTCCCTGGATTCAAACCTCCAACCTGTTAGCCTTTGGTCCTGCCAGCACAAGGGTTTAACACATTGCACCACCAAGGGTTCTATACAGATAATACAAATTCCAGTATTTTGCCTAAGAAAAACCTGTGTATATTTCAAAAGTTTGGAGACATTTTGAACCATAGTGGTCAACCTATTTAACCTAATATCGATTTTAGAATTTGTCTTATGGCCATCAGAATTTGACCATAGAATTGTGCTGGAGGAGCTAAAGATTTCTAGAGATAATATATTAAGCAAATCAATGAATAAAGAGATCAACAAAGGTTAAATCTGGGGAGAACTGTCTGTATCAACAACTGAATTCTGAATCAAATGAGTGTCAAATAATGTTTTTATTACAATCAACATGACATTAAATGACAAATGACATGACATTAAATACCTCTAATTCTTTGCACAGTCTGAAAAGGGGCTTTGAATCATTTTTTTGAGATTTTGATCGGATACAGAAGATAGGCACAATTCTGTTAAATGGCTTCATGTATTAGAGACAGAATCCTGAACTGTATCAGCCAGGTTAAATGGGTAGCCAGGGCAGCTCTTGAAGCTTAAACTAGGAAAACGTTTTTGTTTTTTTTTAATTTTTAAAGAAAAAATTCCCATGGAAATCTCAGTTTATGCTGTCAACTCAAAATATGGTGCCACCATTTTTATTTAAACAAAAAGGCTGAAGGATGTTTCCAGTCAACAAGAGTGATGTTTTGCTTACCAACAGTTAAACGCGGAAGTAGACGCAAAATGCCTGCTGAGCTTCACTTGGAGGTCACTTAGGAAAAACTTTGCCTGTTTACATCCAATACAAAAAAACTGACCTCATGGAACTGAGAAAATGCAGTAGCAGCTGTTTTCAGATCACTGCTGGTTTTCAAATTAGATTTTAAAATCAGTTTGTTTGTAAATTATGTTAAATGTGGTCCTTTCTCTTAAATCAGAAAGGATGCATTTGCAATGAAAACGGAACACTGCATTTCCTCCCAATAACTGTTATAACAATCCTGTAAGGTAAAATAATAATAACATCTTCTTCTATGCCTTCTAGTAGTTTCTGACCCAAAGGCTCTAAGGTGAACCTACTATGGGTTTTCTTGACAAAATATGTTCAGGAAGGCTTTGCCTTAGCACTCTTTGTGTCTGAGAGAATGTTATTTGCCCAAAGAAACCCAGTAGGTTTCTGTGGTCAAAGCACTACAACACGTTGGCTCCCAGAAAGTCATGACATTGGGTTATTTAGGCAGAAATTAGGGGAAAACAGGACTCATTGGAAAGCTTTCTGAAACATTAAATTGGTGATAATTAAGAAAAATATTATTCATAGAATCATAACATTGGAAGACACCACAAGGGCTATCCAGTCCATCCTGCTGTCTTATAGAAACATACAATCAAAGCTCCCCAAGATAGCCATCCATTCTCTGCTTAAAAACCTCCAAAGAAGGAGCTTCTATTACACTTCAAGGCAGCATATTCCACTGCCAACCAACCCATACCTTTAGAAAGTTCTTCTTAATATGAACCACCATGGAGATTAAGGTCGTCTGAGGAGGCCCTGCTTTCGTTCATGCCTCCTTCGCATGTGCAACTGGTAGGGACAAGACAGTGCCTTCTCAGTGGTGGCCCCTTGGCTGTGAAACTTCCTCCTCATTGACATTAGATCAGCCCCCTCCCTCCTGGCCTTCAGAAGGAAAGTGAAAACTTTGCTTTGGAATGAAACTTTTGGAGAATAGTGAGTGCAATAACAGATATGGAATATGTGCAATGATTCTGGAATGGTCTTGGACTATGATTATGGATGTCATGGTTTTAATATTGAATGTAAAGTTTTAAAATGTTAAATATATATTTTATTTAATTTTATTGTTTATTGGAATTGTATGTGTTCTAAGGCACTGAATAATTGTCTATATGTAAACCGCCTTGAGTCCCCTTTGGGGTAAAGAAAGCAGGGTATAAATAGGGTAAATAAACAAAAAATGTTGAGATGGAATCTTTCTTCCTGAAATTTGAATCCATTTCTGTATGTCCTACTACTTCATCACTGTAGAGAATGAATCCACTTTAAATCCAGTTGTTGCCTCCTGCAGAATTCTGGGGTTTGTAGCTTAGAGAGGAGCCTTTACCCGCCTCACTAAACTACAAACCCCAGAATTCTACAGGAGACAGAAACTAAATTTAAAGTAGATACATTATCTAGTGTGATGAAGTGGAGTCTCCAGAGCAGTAAAAAAGAAGCTCAACCCCTCCTCGATGTGACATAATTTCAAATATTTAAACATGGCTAACATGTCCCCTCTCATTGTGATACTGTGATAAAGTGATTAATCTCAACTATACTAATCCAAACTACAGTAGACTCATCTAATCAATTAATTAAATGACAAGCCAATATTTATATTAATCCCACTGATTTATTCTGTTGTGATAGTAAGAGCATTTAGTTTTTACTTCACATTTCCAGCACACCTCTCATAATGGTCTGCAATACATCTTTCACCAAATTTTAAAACTAATAGTGTATAACACATGCAAAAAGGAAAACAAGGGGTCTTTGTTGTATGTGATGAACTTATCTACATCCTTCTTCCTTCTTGCCTGAAATAAGTTTCCCATCCTGATTATTCATGCAGCACAGTTTTGCATCCCCATCCCACCAGCAGCTCGTTTGCTGACAATAAAAACAAAGGCTTCTTTTCAACTGTTTTTATATTTTCCGTGCCTGTTACAAAACAGTCACAAAAACAATGCGATAGCTGCATATAAATATAGTCCATAAACTTAAAGTTCTGTTTCTACCCCACAAGAAAACAAGCATACATATACCTTATTGTAAATCTTGTGATTAGAAGTCTGAAGCTGTGCTCTTACTCTTAGTATTATGCCTCTTTCAACAATTATGGGTGGGAACTCTCCCACCCTCCAGATGTTGTTGAATTACAACTTCCATGATCTCCAAACATTCCGCAGACGAAAACTGAGACAGATATGGCCAAGCAAGGTCTGAATATAGTCAAGATGGGTGAACTTATTATTGAGGAAAAATACAAAAATTAGAGGAGGCTTAGTAATAGACCTTTGCCTGAGCTTATTCAGAAGAATCGATTCCTGCCCCCTTCTGTCCCCTCCCACAACTACGTTGATAGAATAAACTAGTTTTCACTTTTAACTCGGCTTTCATGTACTGAAGTACACTGAGGACACAAAGGCAGGAGAGAAAAACTAACATTTTAAAAGCTGATGGAAAGTAATGCAATAGAGCAGTGTTTCTCAAACTGTTCTCCTTCAGGTGTTTGGGACTTCAGATCCAAGAAATCCCAGACAGCTTATCAGCTGTTAGGAATTGTGGGAGCTGAAGTCCAAAACATCTGAAGGGGCACAGTTTGCGAAACTCTGTGATAGAGATTATTGGTGTTTCAAATCACTACACCATGCTGGCTCCCTTTGGAAACATATTACTAATTACCTAAATTTACCCCTTGTAGGACACTTTATCCTCTTTTCAAACATGGTGAGGCACTGAGCTCATCACACGAGTTAAACTACTTCTGGCCATCATGTATAGCCCTCCTTGGTTGAAAAGTGGCAGAAGTGTCCCAAAAGGTGGGAACTCCAGCAATCAACCTCATCACATTGAGAAATGTTCAGCCTTTTTTCAAGCAGGGAGAGACATGGAGCTCATCACATGTTCCAGTGTTGAAATGAGGCTGAAATGTCCTGAAAGAAGGAAATTCTGAATACGGGCCAGCAATCGTGTTCAGTGCTTCTACCTCTTATTGCACTTTACACCCATGATTACAAGTGTAAAACAGGTGGGATGGGAACCATCAGTTTCCTATACTGTTTTGTTGCCCAACGTCAGCAGTCTCTTGTATCCTATGGAGTTTGATGCAGAACAATAGGATCCCATGGAAAGAAATGATTTCAACCTGGGTCACTGTTGCTTGTATCCCATGGGTTTTGATGCAGAACAATAGGTTCCCATGGAAAGAAATGGTTTTGACCTGGATCACTGTCTCTTGTATCATATGGGGTTTGGGGCAGAACAATTTTATCCCATGGGAAGAATGGGTTTTAAACTGGTGTCAGTCTCCTTTAATGGAAGGGGCAAAGGATCTGCAAAGGATCTGTTGGTTTTTGGATATTGTTGTTTCTCCTGTTTTTAAAAAATAATACTGACCTGTTTTGAATGTAAGATTAATGTGTTGCCAGCTCTTGAGTTTCTACGTGTGAGTCTGATGAGGAGGCAGAACTTGAAATAGGACTGCTAACGATATAATATGGGTTATTCTCTACGTCAAAAAGATGGTCACCCATGCTTTCTCCTCTCACTATGATGTGGTTGTTAGTGTTTTATGATTTTTGGTCATCTTCATGGATTGTATCCACAGTACAGATGGAATCCTAAGTCCATTTATTAGGTTGCCTAATTTTTAATTTCATCCCTATAAGTATAAAAAATTTAAAAGGACAGTGGTGATGCTATCAGTTGTGTTGTGGAGATTTGAACTGAAATGTGGTAACAACAGGAAGGATGTTCAAAGCCATTACAAATATGATATACCAAGTTATAGAATTTTCCTGAAAATGTTCAGGACATGTGAAATCCTAGAAGTATGATTCCTGAAGCAAATGCAGTTCATACCCTGTTTTCATTTCAGATTTTTCATCTTTCCTTTTCTTATTTTGTTCCTGCTGTAGGTGTATGTTCTGCATTAAAGTTGACCGTTCCTTCCCATACACTTGATGGCATTGAAGGGCAACCGCTCAGACTTCCAGTTAACTACACTTTCAACATGTCAGCTTCTGAAATTCAGATAATATGGTTATTTGAGAAGCCTCCAAACACCAAATATCTACTTAGTTCTGTGAATCAGGAAGTTGTTCCAGACTTAGAATTTGGAAAGAAATTTACACTTATACCTCCAAATGCATCTTTGCTAGTAAAACCTTTAGAAATAAATGATGAAGGCAATTATATTGTCAAAATCAATATCCATGGAAACAGAACAATATCGGCAAGTGAAATTATTCAAGTTACTGTTCATGGTAAGTAACATCAAATTCTAGAATCCATGGGGCAACTCAGTGTATCATGAACGATCTATGACGATAATCTTCTGTTCCTTTTGCTGATCTCTTTATCTTAAAAAAAAAACAATCTGGCAATATTTTATTTTGCATCATTTTGGGGAATCTAGAATACATAACTTTCACTAACTAGTAAAGCTCCAGATTTTAAATGATTTCCAAACTAGAGTTTTGCCAATATCAGGCTAACCGGTCTTCTGAATATTGGGAAGATCTTGACCAGGGTTTAGTGTTGTGTAGTCCTCAAGATGTTACTGGACTATTGCTCCAGCAGCCCTAGCTAACATATCGATGGTGAGGAATGGCAAGAATTAAAATTCAACAATAAGCGGAGGGGGCAAACAATTCCCACCCTGGGTTAAACTGACTCCAGTCATCTCATGAAGAGCATGTATGTATGTATATGTAATTTCTGGCATTGTACTGAAAAAGAGGGTTCTTACACTCAGATCCCCATTGCTCTTAAACAAGTGATTGACACTGTCACAATTGACATTGTTAGCCGTATCTCAGGCAACCATAGACTGGCAAATGTCTGCATTCAGTACACTTGTAACTCAGCCTCAACACATCCTCAGTTTATTGAACTGCAGTTGTTCTACTTAAATGACAAGAACACCTTTCTAATAACTTCTGAAACTTTCTGTTGCAGTTCCTGTCACGAAACCACGGATATACACTGAACCCTCTTTTGGAGTCGTAGAAAAAAAGGGGAACATTACTTTAAGATGTACTGTGGACAAAGGGACGCGGGTTGTTTACCAGTGGATGAAAAATGGGAACCCTATCGAAGCCAGCGCCAACTACTCCTTTTCTGTAAACAAAGATACACTTTCAATTGCCCCCGTTGTTAAGGAAGCCATTGGAAACTACAGTTGTTTAGCAACCAACACAGTCAGTGCCATGGAGAGTGACGTGATCACACCAACGATATATTGTAAGTAGCTGAAATACTCACTGCTTTCACTTGTTCCAGAGAATGAAGGCAAATATGTAGGAAGCAAAAAGAAAGGAAACAATATGAAAAGGGGGGGAGGGGACCCGCCAGCATTCCTAAGCTCTTGGGAAAGCTAAAATACTTCCTTTGATACCATATTTTATAAAAATAAAGGTAGAATTAGACCTTGATTCATACCATTTATTTCTAAACAATGTGATACAACCATCCACAGTTTGAAAAAAAATTAAGTCTGAAAAGCAAACATTGATCCCCCTTCCAATTTTGTGTTAGGGACACTATTTTACTACACCATTATATTAGAGATGTTAAACTCATTTTCATTGAGGGCCACATCAGCCTCTTCAAAGAGCTGCTCAATCCATGGGAGGAAAATCCATGGATACAGAGGAACAACTATAATTTTGTTTAAAAAAGTGGTCAGAGCTCTTTACTTTTTACTCAGTTTGGGTCCCCAGATGTTATTAAACGACCACTCCCATCACTGCTGATTATCCGCCATACAGACTAGGGATAATAGGAACTGCAACCCAACATCACTGGTTCTGAGGTTGGGGAAAGATTAAAGGAAAAATTAAAGTCAGACATATCCACGAGCGCTGTATCTAAATTCAAACTCCACTATTCTGACTAAACAGAACAAACTGGGCCTTCTGGATGTTATGTATCATAACTTCCATCAGCTCTACTCATAATGTCTAATGAGAAATACAGGACTTGCAGTCCAGTATCTGGAGGGCCACATAAAATGATATGGAGGGCCAGATTTGGACCACAGGCCTTGAGTTTGATACATGTGCATAATGTATATAATGGGACTCGTGAACCCACAGATTTTGATATCCATAAGGAACCCTGAACCAAACTCCAACAAATCAAAAATAATAATAATCATTGTTCATGTAATTTTGTATCTTTGTTTAAAATGGCTCCTGGGAAACAAATAGGATGGTCCATATAGTTAAGATTATCAAGTATCGGTATAATCTTGGTGTGAAGGAAGTCCGTTATTAAACTGCTGCCACCAACTGTGACGATGACCTTTTTAATGCCACCGAATACCACCAATTGTGAAGGTGCACGTGGTAAAGCACCCACTGCCACCTTATCTATGAGGGAAGCCGGGCAACGATCAATATCAGCCTAGGAACTATTTTATAAAGGGACTGTTTCTGGCTGACTTTATTATTGCAGGCTGTTCAACTTAGAAGAAACTGTATCAGGCAAGGCTTGAGGAAAAAGTAACAAGTTTATTTTAACAGGAGTATAACAATGTATAACTGTTCTTCAAAAGAGGCATAAATCTTGATGGTTACATTGGAAAGGTTTCATGAGTAAACTCAGGCAAACACTTCATAAGGTTTCACAGCTGGCACAACAGGCTTAAACCCAGCCAAACCTTGATTCTTAATTCAGAATCAACAACCCCCTGTACCGGGTCCTTCTCTGCAACCACTTTGGTCACCAATTGATTCCCTGAATCTCTAAGAGATTCAGTTTTTCCCTATAGCACACTGGCTACAGACACATTCCCTGAATCTCCACCAAAAGATTCAGTGTTTTCTCAGTAGCTCTCCGGCCACTGACTGACTTTTTAAAACACAGATGCCTCCTGAAGAGGCGGTTGGCTCCGCCCCTGTTGCTATGGCAACTCAGCTAACGCCAAGCCACTCCCACAAAACATAACCTCCCATACTTACCATCCCTAAACCATTGTCCAAACTACACATAACCAAAGGAATAAAATTTACACATCGTCACACCTCCCAACCCATAGGGATTATTTTTGACTTTTCTACCAACTAGAATGGTCAAAAATAATTTGGATAATACCAACATCATATAACTATATACAAACCATATTTTGATCAGTTATCTAATAACACTGGTTAAGGCATCCTGGAAAGTGAGTCCGCAACAACATTGGTTCTACCTTTTACATGCTCTATATCAAAGGTATAATCTTGCAATGATAAACTCCACCGTAAAAGTTTGTTGTTGGTGCTTTTGGTGTTATCCAGCCATTTTAATGGGGCATGATCCGTTTGAAGGGTAAACCTTCTTCCCCATAAATAGGGCCGCAATTTTTGTATGGACCATATTATAGCTAGACATTCCTTTTCAATAGTAGACAAACTATATTCTCTGGGCAATAGCTTTTTACTTAAAAATAGAATAGGATGACTCTCTCCTTCTTGATCTAATTGGCTTAATACCGCCCCCAACCCAGTTTCGGATGCATCACATGTTAAAGTAAAGGGTTTATCAAAGTCTGGGGCTCTTAATACGGATCGTGAGGTTATGGCCTGTTTTATCTGGTCCATTGACCTTTGACATTCTGCAGTCCAAAGTACTTGATTAGGGCAACTCTTTCGTGTAAGATTTGTCAAAGGCACCGCTAAAGTACTAAAGGATGGGATAAATTTCCCTGTGACTCTACTGACATACATTCTCAATATTTGTATATATATCAGTCCTATAATATCATTAAGTCCTTCAAAATCATGAGGAAGTCTGAACAATTTGAAGAGATTCAAGTCTCTATAGTCCATCACAGGTTGTTTACAATCAAGAATCTCTTGGTCCTCCACGAAGTTACCACGCTGTTGTAGGAAGTTTTCTCTTTTCTTTGTTGCTGGAGCTTCCTCTTTCAATCTGATCTTCCAATTGTCAGGAACAGTTCTGCTTTCATTGAGTTTTAAGGCTCGAATAAAGGCTTGCTTCAACGTAGCATCAGGTCTTATTGAAGAATTTATAGTTCTTTGAACATCTTTTCTTGGTATTGAAGAGAATCCGCCATCGTTGGAAGAACAAACAAGAACATTGTCTTTCTCTATTGTAGTCTCATCACTGCTGTCTGGATGAACCTTTAAACCTTGGAACTGGAGATTTGTCTTTTTATCAAGACTAACATAGTCAGTGTATATCACTTTTCTTAACAGTCCATCAGCTTGGTTTTTATCCTCTTCTTCCTCCGATATATGATTAGATCTTCTTTCTCTGCTTATTTTCTCTTCAGTTGTAGACATATCGAAATGCTCAGGGTTAGTAAGGAGGAGCTGATCTAATGTTTTATTCTCAGCAAACTGTCTCTCTTCTTTTCGATAAGTTTCACTTAGATTCTTAACTTCAATCACAGTTCTGATCTTCAAAACTTCTTTTGTGCCATCATCTGGAACCTCCATAGTGAATGAATCATGCCTGGAAGTTATCTTTACTTCAACTAATCTTTCAGATGTGTGAATTTTTTCTTCACAGAAGACTTTTTGATATTTTGTACTTCCAACCATGTCTACTGCCAAATAAATAGATTCCTTAAGGATTAGCTTTTCTTCAGCTTTTTCTTCTGACTGTATTTCATTGTCTTTGTCAATGAACTCGGCAGAGTCAATCTCCTTACTTGCAGCTGAAGGTAATACATCCTCCAAAGTCAACGATTCTTTCAGCTCTCCTTTCTCCCCAAAATCCATCACTTGTTCTGCAGGAACCACTATCTCTACATTCTCATCACTGGCTCCATCTGGGTGCTCATCATGTTTCTGAGGTACCACACTTTAGGTGTAAGAAACAGTTGGAAACTTGTGGTCTAAAACTTCCCTGTATAGAACTTCATTTTTGATTACAAATCGGTTTGGTTTCTCTGGGGTTAACTCTGTCTTTTCGGTTTGAGTTGTATCAAACAAGGTCTGGAGTGTGTCATCAGCCTTTTGTTCTTTAGAAATTTCTTTTTGTCCTTCAACTAACTCAGTTATAACAGAGCTTGCTTCGGGGTTTTTGTCCCAGAGGTTGACAGATGGGCAAACATGAAGTGTTTTGTACTCCAGACTGTTCCACAGTCAGGTCTTTTCCCTCTTTAGGTAACTCTGATATTTTTTTAATTCTTCTGGCCAGGTCATTTCCAATCAAGCATGAGTAAGGGATCTCTGAACTCATGGCAAAATCCCACAAGCCTGTCCAATTGCCATATTTTATAGGTAAAGAGACCACGTTTGAAGTAATCGCTGGTCCTAAACCTTTTAAATTAATCTGAGAAGTAGGATTTTGATACCTCTCAGGTACCATCTTTGTATGAATTACACAAACTTCGGAACCCATGTCTCTCCACCCTTGTAACAGGTTTCCATCTATTTTGATGGGTTCCAAATAGTCATTTGGGACTGTGTTTAGCATCACAAACAAACACTGTCTTTCAATCTGTTCCCCTTTTTGAACCACCTCAGTGCAATCTTTCTTAGCACTGGGTTCCATTTCTTCTTCAGGGGTATTTCTTTTCCTAATGAAGAAGGTGGACTTCTCTTTTCTCAGGAGATTATATTGGGACTTAAAATGTCCTAATTTTCCGCAATGGAAACAGCTCTTATTTCCCTCAGTACTGTTAGGCTGCATGGTGCCTGCCATCCTCCAGGTGGTGTTTTCTACTGAAAAGCCTCTCCCTGGCTGACTGTGAGGGGATTTTTTAAATGGCGGTTGGGATTGTCTTGTTTCCTTTTTGACTCCTTCTTCTTTAAATCCTTCCTTTAAATTAATCAACTGGTCCACCATGATAGCTGCTTGTGTTGAAGTTTCGGGGTTTCTATCCTGTATAATCCATCGATAATCAAGGGGGACCTGTTGATAAAACTGCTCCTTTTGAATTAAGTTTTTGAGCTGTTGGAAGTCATTTACCTCAGCGCCTTTGATCCAGCTCTCAAAGTATTGTGCCTGCTTGGAAGCTAATTGAGAATAACTCTCATATTTTTCTTTTTTGATCGTCCTGAACTTCATCCTATAAAATTCAGGCGTCAGCTGCAATTTCTGTTGGACTTCTCATTTGAACTTAGAATAATCTCTATGTTCTGTCTCTGCCATGTCACTGTAAATCTCCAGGAGTTTACCACAAATCTGT